ATATTACGTGGTACGAAATGTCATGCCATATGGCATTACTTTTCAACATACTGTTTTTCGCATGTCTAATCTGTATGTAAAGGCTCTTTATTTCGGTTGGAGAAATCTAGTTGAAATTAACAGTTCCTTGAAGTTGCAAAAAACCCATACTTCGACACTTTAAGGGAATTAAAATTGATATTGTATAGTATATATTATAGTCTTGTAGTAGGTCGAAATTTGAAATGTCTTAAGTAAGACCTTGATGTGCTTACTTCATAATATCATATTTTTACTGCGCATATTTTTTTATTATGAAAAATATTTCATATTGATACGGGACACTCATGATGCGAGTCCGAATCGCTCTTGGCTGATTTTTTTAAGAATGTGTATATTTGTTTGTTACATTTTTTAAAGAAAAAGGACACATCAATTCTATCCTAATTTGTACAATGTAATGTAGTGTCCCTGTCTGTGTAATTTCGCCAGACCATAAGTTGGACAAAAGTTTTTATGTGTTCACGTTTTAACTATGATTTTAATACGCACAACCTATTAAGATAGTCTTCCTTCTTAAGATAAGCATTTAGACCACTATTTACCAACAACATAATTAAAAAGGTTGTACTGTGTAATAAAAACGTTTTAATTATACTCCATAATTTGTTGTTGTATTTATTTTTTATTTTTTTATGATTGTATTTTTTTTTATTTCTTTCTTCTCTTTTACATTATCATTGTATCTGTTCATGTAAGGTGTGGTCAATAAACTTTCTTTCTTTCTTTCCATAATCGTATTTTCATAGTATTTTTCTTTGCATTATATCCATTTGTGACATTCAATGCTTACAAGAAATATACGCCATCGAATTATTTTGCTTGCAGGATTCCCAGGGTTTTCAGGTTAGTGACGAACCTAGAACCTTTCCCGAAGGAGTTTGCTACACCGAAACGGTTTTAAGGAAAATTGTTTAAGTCTGCACTATCAAAACTCGTGGGAACACTTTTTATGTAACCTCAATAGTACACACTTTAGTTGACCAAAGATTAGCAAATACGATAGTTCAGTAACGTACTTCACTTCGTGTAACTTTAAGGGCTCAATTCTACTATTATATATAACGGCGGGTAGTCAAAAGGGGCTATTACAAAGCCCAAATAGATTGTCCGTATCGCAGGACTATCTTTAAAATAACACTGCAGGCGTGAATACCAACGTGGATTTGTTCCATTTTATCATTTTTCACACGAAAATATAACGAGATGAGCGTGATGTCATCAGATGTCTTTACTCCTCGGCGATCGGAAACAGAATGTGTGCCAAAATGGCGGCAACTTGCTTTTTATTAACGAACTGTCAAAGTCCATTCCATTCTAATAAAATTAAGGGTATCGATGATCACGCTCTCTCTACAATCGAGTAATTAAGTAATCGAGTAACTAGCAATTAAAATAAAAGAAACTTAATCAAACGATCTTCGTAATGATGATGCGACATATATTTTAATACTATAAAGTGTAAAACTTTGATTGTTTGTTTGCATAGAATAGGCTCCGAAACTACTGGAACGATTTTAAAAAGTCTCGCATATGGGAAGCAACATCATATGTAGATGATTAGGCTATAATTTACACGAGCAAAATTATTAGGAGGCGCTAGTGTTAATTAAAAAAAGGTTTAGCGTTTCAAAACTACCTTCTTTGTTATAGTTATTATTACTATACAGCGTGTTTGGTAATACCTGTATAATCCCGAAACATGGCCATACAACCTAGCACAAAGAACACAATTGATAGGTCAAAAAACAATTTCATGTAAATTGATATTTTCATACAAATATTTGAACAATTTGTTTTCAATTACTATGCTACAACCCTGTAAGCTTACACGTGCCGTCCCGGCGCACTCGCTCTTTCTCTCTCTCTCTCTCTCATTACCTCTCACTCTCTCGTTTCCTTGAATACATTTTGATGTTGCCGACGTGCGCACTCGACTACGTATGAGTTTACTTGTAATTAAAACAATTTAAGATTAAATAGGTATAGTACATACCTATAGCGTTCTAATCACTCTTTCAGCTTTCACTTGTCAACATTACCTACACTTCACCTCCACTTTATCAGTCCAGGGTCTCGATATGCCGGCCACCGCATAAAACACACATGTCCATTCGACTCGACACAGACCGTGTCGTGTTACTCTCGACGTAAAGTCATATCCTCTGTCTCGATGGAATAGGTGATCGGCCGGCCTACCTGTGGCACACTATGGAATGAACCAGTTGTATGTAACCAATTCACAAATGCCGCGAATCACCGGTAAGAAGGAAGACGTCGATGGTTTTCAGGTCTTCCTGACACGTGGCGCTCGTCATAACGCCGCCGAGCCGCAGCAAGATTACCGTCACAAGCACCGCCACACATTATCATCTCGTAATATTAGGCATTTGAGTACGAATTCATTGCACTGACCGCACACAAACATAATACACAGGTAAACAGAACGAGAATGAAAAACAAACCAAAAGTCCCGAAAGAACGAAACCGTAAGTTGACCTTCTAAATTCTGAAAACTCACAAGTACGCCGATGAAAGTCACGGACGCGACTGACGCGATGACCAAAACTACATAGGTTATTATTATTGCAACTCGAACACCAATGTACCTAAATCAAAAGTGTACCAATTTTGGGGTTCCGCGTCAAGAAATATTATTTATTATTAGACCTTTCCATTACAACTAACCTTTATTTAATTATCATTTAAACTAAGAATAAGAGAGATACTTAGATTATTAATATCATTGTATAAGTCCGTATTTTATTGTTTCGTGAAAATAACACGGCTTTATGAAAAAAATAACAAAACTTCAAAGCAAATAATCTACAGAACCTTACTGACACATCAGAAACCCGAGTTTCTCAATACACATCGTCGTCGATTTTATGTCTCTCTCGCTCCTTCTTGCATAGACTAATGTGAGCAATGGTGCAGATATTGAACTTCAATCAAAGTATTTGCAATTTCTTTTTTATTTTGACTGTATTATTACAGAAGTTTTCATATTAATAGTTTTTGAAACACCGTTAATCACAAGATTAGTGTTTTTTATAGTTAAAAGTCATTTACTACTAACTTTTTCTTTGTTTGGAAATAATAAATTCCTCTCAGATGCATATTTATTCTAGGCATTTATCTTTAGATTTATTTAACTTCTGTTATTTTTTAAACTAGTTCGGCACATGGAGTCGATGACCAAATACAACACAACAGCTGTTTTTAGGGTTGTCAGCGTACAGTTTTACTTCGAAGAAAAATAGCTGAATATCTAGGTCATGTGCTGGGTTTCAGACTTAGTGATCATTTTTCTGGGTTCTATTCATCAAACCCTATGTGCCATATTCGGGATTATACAGGTATTACCAAACACGCTGTATATATCGCAAAGCAACAAGAATCTGGCATTGATTCATCAAGACGCCAATATTTAGTGCTAGGAGAACAATGCAGTGCGGAAATGCAATTCATTGAGTCGCCATTGAAGTGCCGCTATTGGGTTAACATTAATGGAATCGAGGCCTTGAACGTCGTCGGTCTTTTTGGCCCTAATCAAAGTACTCGGAGCGCTCCCCGTGCAATCCTCGCAAAGCATGAAAGTATAATATTAGACCGTTTTTAAAAATTCTTTTAGCTACAAGAAGATGCATAATACGGAGGTGATATATTTTATATGTACGCAGCAAACTGACTGACTGATCTAACATAACACACAGGTCAAACTCCTGGACAGCAGAGACATCTAAAATTTGTCACAATTATTCGCTGAGGCAGGATTTTGAATAAATCAATTAATTATAGTTTAAAAATAGTTTGGAAATAAATTTAAAGTGCGAGTGGAAAGGTACTAAAAACTTAAAAAGTCAGAAAATCTTATTTCAAAAGAAATATTGACTTTGATACCCAAACATAATGGATCGAGAAACGAGTCGAGGAATAACTCTCAGCGAAACACTTTCGACAATACCGTTTTAATAATTCATATAATAAGTGACGTCGGGTCTCGAATATTATTCAAATTCGGTTCCGTCTAAACTATTGAGAACGAAATATCCTTTTGACCGAAGGCTCAAAGATTCTGTATTACCTTTCCGATAATTTACACTCTATTCATCGTATCTTTAACAATCTGGAATATTTCGGAAAGAAAATTATAATGATCGAATTTATGTACAGTTATCTAAGTAAATTCTGCTCTGCGTAATGTGGATGTATATTTTTTATTCAAATTTTCCGGAGAAAAATTTGAGATAAAACTTTAATATACTAGAATCTAGAATTATTATTCAAGTTAACTATTAATCGTATTATTTAAATGGTGTTTCGATAACTTTCTTATAGAACAGAAATCAAATCCGTTTTGGTGTAACAAATTATTTATAACCTATTTATGTTCTGTAGTTCAATACGCCGCTGTTTTACATATATTTTTTTGTCATTAGTTAAATTTTCATCACGCGTTTTTTTTTCAACTAGAAAGCACATTATACTGTCTGGATTTTGTATGAAACAGCAATGAAATGTATAACAAAAATGCATGATATATAATTTTGATCAATTAATTCATTGATTATGATTCGACGCTGTACAGCAAAGACGTAGTAATCCGCAACGATTAAATTGGTCCTCAAAGCAGCATTCATAAAATAAGGGTAACCATATTGTTGCTGTGGATGTTTTTTTTTTAATATTTAGAATATTTTTTTCTCAATTAAAAAATATCAGCTATGAAGATCAAATTTGCTTTTGCGGGTACGTTTTTGCTCTCCAGATTATTAATGCTATTGACTTTTGATAATATTAAATGCAATCACTTTTAAATATTTTCTGATATGCCATTAATTTATATTACCGATATCAAAAGAAACTCTATTTTAACGACCTTTTTTTTTTGTTCTACGCACCTAACTACATTGTTAGTAAAAAAAATACACATTTCAATAACATCTCCATTGTTACAGGGAAATTCCGGAGAGAGTTCCACAGGTCTTACTTCAAATGCTTTTGCTGTTGCCACAGCGGCGCTCCCCCTGAACAGAACGGGACCTCCTTCGCGCCTATCGGTAGTTCCAGAGCTGGGACTACCAGGACCGTAGTCAGGAGGAACGACTCATGCGCCAGCTATAGACTCACCCATCTCTCCCCTTCCAACCACAACAGCATTCACAGGGACTACGTAAGAAACACCAACACATCTTTCATCGAACAAGTTAATGGCAACAGGCGACCAAAAATAAGAGACGACTCAATCAGCGAATCAGCGACTCGATTTACTCTCACTACAGATGTGGGTAGAGATTGACAGTTGGGCAAAGATTTGTACTATACGGATGTACGCAACAGATCTGAGGGCATTGTAACATATGTAGCTAAAAGCACTAATAGTATTGATTGTAAGCCTTATTACGATTGTTTTAAAGGCGCCGGGGGTAGTGGCCATTGTGATTTTGTTGATGCCAACGCAATAGATGAAAGATATAGTGACACTTGTACAGATTACAGAGAGAATGATACTGATTCAAAGGAGCTTTTCTCTTTGAATGATGAAACAAAGAACGGATTCAGATCTAAGTTTAACCGTAGTCTTAATAGCTGTCAGATTAAGAATAAAAGGAAAGTGAATACAGTGTATTAATAAATTAATTTTGGATGTGTTAAATTATGATTATATCACTAAGTTTAATTTAAAAAAATGAAAAAAAATGTATTGATAAGTAATTGTATTATACTGTTAGTCTATATAACTTGGATAAGTTATCGAAGAGATGTTACGTAATAAAAATGTACCAACACTTGTATTTTTTATTTCATAAATTAATACGGGTATAGCACGTGGTATCGTTTGTTTCCGTGCCTGATACGTTCATACCAGGGTCTTGATAAAACGCTGTAGAATAAAAATAGCCTAAATCATACAGAAAATATGTTTCTACCACAGAATTTAACGATGAACATGCACTTGCCCGCACCGATCGCAACGGACGACACGCACGCAACTTTTATAAATTAGTAAAGCATCGTGCCTACTTTTATAATTCTCTATGTTTCGTTCGATTACTATTAAAGTAGATGTCAAAGTAGTAAAATGAAATGCCTAGTGGATGTTCGGAATTATTATTTTACGCAAAAATAGTTAACAACTTATTCGGCAAGAGGCCGATTAGCTCGTTAACGTTAAGGCTACGCACTGATGACTTTTAAAAATGAAAATTTATTTATTTTATACACTTTTTTAGAACGAAATGTGAACTGCTCCCATATGAGGTTTCCCTGTGTCACAAGAGGCAGGCTCCTTCTTAAATACATCACAAATAATTATATTAAAGTGAAAATATAATATTAATAAAACAACGAATAGATAATATAATGCTTTTTTGTGTTGTGTATAAATAATAGCCTAATAATATTTTTTATAATTTTAGAATAGATTTTACGAAAACTTCAAATAGACTCTTTGTCAAATTACTGAATAACCTATGTCCTTCATGCAAACTTTGTGAGAAAAAATCTTACAAAAGTTAACAATTTGAGAAAATCCTTGTATATCTTAAAAGCACCATATCCCAGTGAGGATTAGTAAGTAATAATGACAGATACATCCAGGGCCAATGGCTCAATGGCACCTTCCAAATCACGAAGAAGTTTCGTTACTTTTACGACTAATTCCTCTGAAATCCCACGTCACAGATCCAGTCAATCCTCTTTCAGTTTAGTCGCCGAAATGGAAACTGTTACGTTATAATCTGAGTGTTTGTAAATAACACTCATTTAAAGTCGCAGGAAACGGCGTGTTTGCACAAATCATAATATACAATATTCAATAGTTTCTTGATTTATTTTTAGTAGACCGATTAGAGATGTTTGTAACAAATATTTATCGATAATTTTGAAGAACATTAGTATAAATTGTGTGATGTATCCGTATGAAATAGTTGTTTTAAATTCTACAATCGTTCTATTAATTTATTTACATACATACCGGGAGGCAAACTAGACATATTAATATAATATCCATATGCTAATCAATGCAAATGCAACAGTGAGGGTGCATACCTGATCGTACTTAGACTGTTCAAGAATAAATGTCATTTCATATCTTTGTCAATTCCACGACGGACAATAATGCGACATCGTTCAAATATACACTGACCATGGACCACTGACCCTAAATTTCTTACCGTATGAAATGACGATCATTATACTTTATGAGAAATTTGTTACTAGCAATGAAATATAGGAAACAAATGAACGCATGCACAAGAACAACTAAATATCTGACAGTAAAATGGATAAGTGCTTATCAAGCCCATTTTTTTTTTTCACTATGTTACATCAATGTATCGGGCCAAGTGTAACTGGAATTAGTACACCCTTAATAACAAGTAACGTAGCTCTCGATAATCGATAACCATTCATGCGATAACATCCCTCGAACGTATTGAGTAATTCTCTAGTTCGGTAACGCTTAATAGTTTGTTGCATTATTGACGATTGGAATTCCAAAACGTCACGGACAATATTTTCAAAGCTATTTTTGGACTATTTTAAGATGATGACCGATCCTATTATTAACTGTTGTGAGTCAAAATAATTTTAATTTTGTTGTGATATTATTCAACAGATTTTTTAAAATCACACGTGCCATATCACTTTCGTTTTTAATGACATGTTTTAGAAACAAATACATAAAAAATTTTGGGAGTCTGTACCTTAAGACGAGAAACTATGACATATAGTAAATTCCACGCCCAGTCGATATCTGATGCCCTACTCTGTTTCTAAGAAAACGTTAAGTCTATTTTAAAAATACTTATGTCTCTCAAGAATCGCATTGTTCGATAATTAACGATTTAACTGATATAAAATCTGGCACTGCCTGATATACATCTGGGCCTTGACAGTCCACGCTGGCCTACTTTGTATTAGGGTATCAATGGCTGCCGGGACCAACGACCTTACGAAGTATGAAGTAGCTTGAAATAATATTTTTGGTCACCCATCCTGTAACCAAACCTTGCGAAAATCAAACAAACTTAACAACAATGATCGTGAGCCGCGGCACTCATCCACTGCGCCACCGCGCTACTCCATCATCAAATCAGACGATATGAATTTGACCTCTCCTACGGGCGTCAAAATAAGAGCAAACCTCTAATTTTGATGACTATAGATACGCTGACATCTATCTGGATCTCTTAAGGATATTCTGCTCTCATCTGAAAATAGTACGGTTTTCCATTCCTCGACAGTCCAGTCTGCATATTCTCGCACAAAACCAAGTCTAGCTCTACGGAGTTGTGGGAGCAGTTCCGGAGCGCGAGCTAGACGAAAAGCCCTTAAAGTACTTTCTGCTAGTCTTCTTCTAATGGTACGTTCACTGACACTGACATTTCTCACCTCAAAAGGAACCATACGAGCTCCAGTAGCGGTCAAAAAGCGATTTCTCAACATATTGGTGACAACGAAACGGTCATCTCGAGTCGAAGTGCATCGATGTCGGCCTTGAACTGATCTGCGGGTGTATAAGCCTGTCTCCCGAAATCGTCTGATAGTATCTCGTTTCGTAAGTTCGAGGTACACAGAGCGTGCGAGCGAAGCGACACTGGCTATACCCCGCATCAGCTAAAGTCACTGCCCTAGCTACATCAGTTGCACCAAGTGACATTTTTTCCAATCATAAACATCGAGCAAACACTATAATTTCAAATTAAACAATATTCGCCAACTATGATAGAAAATAACAAGAAATTTTACCGAGTTAACACAACAGCAACAGTGTAAAACAACGACTAAATTCCGTAAACCCTTCGGTATAAGTGTTTAAAGGCCATATAAAACAGTTAAAAGGCCATAGTTGATGGAACCAAACAGGGTGATGAATGATACAGGAGGGCGCTTAATTGTGCCCGCGAGTGTATTTTTGTATGCGGGCGGTACACAGCAGGTCTGCAGCTACTGACTGGGTGTAAAAGTTGCTAGATATCATAGTTTCACGGTCATATTAATGGACTTCCGCAAAAGAACACCTAATAATAAAATTCATATAACGGAATAGTTATCGGCTATCACAAAAAAAAAGACATTTTAAACTAATGGATCGATTGGATAAAAACGGCGGTTCTGAGACGGGTGTGTAATCTAATTGAATTAATTTTAAACGTTTTTGTACTAAAGTGACATATGTAATGCGTAATTTATTAAACTAATAACTCAATAATATCAGAAAGTATAAAGTGTTTTTTCATATAAATCGATCTAATACTAACACTTCACTGAACTGAAGCATCGGTAGCTATAAAGAGTTTGTAAAGTTATTTTGAAGCAAAAATTTCTCCACGAAGAAATATAGAAATTGGCAGGAGTTTTCGAGTTGCTATCACTTGAAGAACTTTGATTTTCAAAATAAATTCGGACATTCGTCTTCATTGGCGAAGTTTTGTGTTTACGCATCAGAGGAAATTTATTACCGCCAGAGGCCCTACCGTGAAGTCTTTAAAGCCTTGTCCTCATAAAGGAATCACTATCCTTTTCTGTAAAAAACAATCAGCTTCGAGCGGAACTTCGAGTACAACTTCTATTATATTTCAAGAAGGTTTGATTTGACTAAACCTCTGAATGGCACTGCAGATACAATACTATATAGTGTGTACGCATAAAATTATATGTTTCATCTGAAATCATAGGTGAAACATTTTTGCTCGAGACGAACACCGCGTACACCAATCGAGATATCATCAGCTTGTTTCGATCTAATTTACACACTTGCTTACGCGCTTTGATTTTTGATGACAGGTACGAGCAAGAGTATTATGATAATAGCGTGTCTTGTCACACTGAAAACACTGAAACACGTTTTCAAGTCACCATATGAGGCTTTGCAAGGGTATTTATTGCTATTATAATCAGATTTGGCAGTTTGAAAACATACATTATTATTAAAATAGCACATTACTTTCGTAATTTTTAATATTGGATAATTAATGAATTCAATTGTATTTTATTAATTAAATATTATCTAATCGCTAAGTAGTGATATTGAAGACAAACGAAACACACAAAAGCTGTTTAAGGATTAATCGCCAATATATACCCAACTAACCATAAGTAGGCTACAAAAAATACACAGTATCACTTAAATGGACAAAAGAATCTCGACATTGTCACGTTTATGTTACATTTACAGCTTGCTAGTGAGTACGCGGCTTAATACTGCGCAAACAACGTTGTTTGTTGGGGCTCAAGATTTTAAAAGTTCTTTTAATATAATTATAAGGGCACCCGTGCGTGCTCTAAGACGCAGTGGTTAACGCAATCAGTTTGCAATTATAGAGATTAAGCAACTTTCGCAATGGCCGGTTATGAGATGGGTGGCTAACATTTTTTTTTCAAGTCCTTGATGTTCCATGATACTTAGTCCGTACTGCTTCTATTGATGTAAGCATCTACAAAATTGAGGCAAAGAACGCAGCAACCTCTTTTCTGTTTTCTGTGGTGGAAGATTATGAGCCAATCCCAACTAACATTACAGTTGCAAATAGAGCTTACTTTGGAACCTAAAGTGATATAAAGGTTGATTAGTAAATGTAATTATAGGTTGTGGTA